AAAGAGAGAGATTAAAAGTTGATTCATCCTTATACCTTTGTATTGGGAAATAATGAAAAATGAAATCCATTCAAAGTGGGAAACTGTGGCTTTCCTTGTCCGTTTTTTGTTTGGCCTCATTCGTCTTTATTTTAGAGAGATCGGCCATTTCAAGAATCTAGTCCCAAGTTTCTTCAAAATTGAATAATTAATTAGCAAATGGGGAAAAACGTGGCCAACGGTATAAAATTCAAAAGTTAAAAATAATTAATATACCACTTCGCATGTACTCGTTGTGTTTTTTTATTAAGTTTCTTTAACTAGCTTTAGCTAATTCAAATTTAAATGTACTTTAATTATCTTATTTTTATTTTTTTAACATAGGTGTTTTTTTTTTTTTTTTTTTTGAGAATTAGTTTGCTTTTTATTTGTTTATTCAATAAGCTTGTAATTCATAAAATTTGTTTAATTTAAGTCATTTCATTTTTTTATGAATTAGTTTAAGTTTTAGTTTTTAAACTAGTTGTTAACTAACTACTAAGTATAATTAGTTACTTTCGGATAATAAAATATATTTGTGATTTGGAATTTTAATTTATTGACGAATTGCCCAATAGATATAATTATTTTTAATGGAAAAATATATTTATGAAAATTGGCAACAATTAACTGGATTAGCATCGATGAATAACTATTTAGTAAAAAAAAAATATTAATTAACTAATTTATTGCTAAATATTTTTATCGATCAAACTTTATTTCACAAAATGTTTTTGTCAGTGAATATATATATATATAATATATATATATATATATATATTTTTTTTTTTTTTGTAAAGTTTCAGTCATGTAATTGTTAGATGATTATTTTTGACAATTTTAGTCACGGAATTATTTTAATAAAATATTCAAACTCATTTTTAATCAATACGTGGATATTAAAAAAATAATATAATTGTGTGACCTATATGTTTGTTGGCACACACATTTTTTTTTTCTTTTCCAAAATTGTTGGTGCTAATCAAATAGGTGACAAAAATATACTCATAATAGTTTATTTTTTGTCCACAAAAATCCCCTTCCCATCATATAGATCATTACTCTTTAGATATGAGTATGATTCTACAATTTCCCCGGTTTTAGTTTCATAAACCGCCAATTCCTAATAATAAAAAAGGTGAAATTAAATTCACTTTTATTGCAGTTTCTTAAATGACTTTTGGAGCCTATTTTCGGTTTTGTTCGGTTTAGAATCAAAATTTGAAAATGAATTTCAAGCTTTTTAAATTTTTTTCTTTTTTAGATTTTAATAGGTTCGTAATAAATATTATTGATTAAAAACACTAAATCAATTTAATAAAAATTTTAAAAATTTGTTTAAAAATTATAATAAAACAAAAAAAAAAGTTGAGAATTTATTTAAAAATGTGTTTTTTTTTACAGTTTCAAACCGAAACTGCTAATTTTACTATATGTTTTTGGAAATGGAGAAAATAAAATAAGGAAAAGATAATAAGAATAAAAATTGTTATTGTTCATTTTTCCTTTTTTATTTTCCACCCATGGTTGGTTTTGGGAAGGAAATACAAAACAGGGAAGACATTTTTACTCAACTTCCATCACTTTCTCTCAATTTGGAGAGATTGAAATTTGTGGGTTCCAAAGAAAAATATTAAATTTTCCTTCCTCCCAAATTTTCTCTCTTATTTCAAACAGGGAAAGTGGAAATTCCTCAATGCAAATTTCCTTCTTATATTTTAATTTCCTCCCATAAAATTTCATCAATCCCAAAATATCGTGTTAAATTAAAAATTACCAATTTTATACTAAAAAATAAAAGATGCGAAAATCGACATCTTCAATATATAATTTCAATTGCGATTTAAAATAAAAACATCTTAACCGCAAATTTAGTATTTAATTGGTTTTGATTTCTCTATCGATTTCAATTTGAAAATCAAACTATGGTCATGCACCTCTGCCTAATACACCCCAACCATAATTTAAAATCTTTCTATCATTTATTTGAAGATCAAATTAATATTTTGTTTTCATTATTATGATAATATAGGTAGGGGTCTTATTTTGTCTCTTACTGGTCCAAAGTCCATTTCTTTCGCAGATGGACCAATCAAAATTTGGAAATCATTTTAGAAATGTATATTTTAAATACTCAATCATCAAAATTTTTAATTCAAATTGAGAATTTGCTCAACCAATATATTACCTTAATATAATTATTTCATTTATGAAAGTCTCAGAAAATTTATGAATCTCATCTAATATGCTCATCACCTACTAATTTCCTTAAGCTAAAACAGAACTTTTTTTTTTTTTTTTTTTTTTTTAATTCCAAACAAGAAAATCCATCACCAAAATCCATCACTTTTCAAATCGAACTTCACAAGTCTCATTGAACCCACAAAAAAATATCATTAGGTTTTTTCCATACTTTACTTGTGGGATCATTAAACACTTCTCCAACATTCTAGACTTGTCTGTCTATTCAAAGACCTAGTCTGATCCTCTTTTAAATCATTACATGAATCTCCAAAGCTTCATTCTTCGAGAACTTCTCCCAATGGCAACTACTCTTTTCACTACCTCACATTCTTCTTTATCCCTCAAAAACCAGAACCAAACCCCACCTGTATCCAAGATTCCCTCTTTTCGCAATACAAATCAAGAAAATCCCTAAAATTTACTTTAAAAAATGAGCAAGAGTGGAGCAGAAAACCCCATTTTGAATTATCTTGGGTCAAAAACACTCACTTGGGCAGAAAACCAGTTTGTCATTTTCAATTGTGAGTAAAGAAAATTTTGTCAGAGCCATTAAATTCTCTGTTAAGATGAGCGAAGAAAAGGGAAACAAGCTTCATCTTCCATGGCTGTAGTTACTGACCGACAAGACTGAAAATGAAAGAAAGGCGAGTGAGCAAGAAGTCAAATGAAAGCGAAAGGAAAAGAATTTCAGAGGAGGAAAAAGAGAACAGCAAGAAAAGGAATTGGAAGACAGACGAGGGAATTCAAGAAATTTATGGGAAACCCTTCATTGAGGCTGCAATTAAGCTGGAGAAGAAGAGGGCTGATAGGAAGCTAAGGAACTTGAATAGAGAAAGTAGTGATATATCCACTCGTGGGTTTTTTTAATAGGTTATAGCTCGTGATAGTTTTGAGACTCGAGAGAAAGAAAGTTGGAGATGGCTGAGGAGAACCTTTAAGGCCCTTGAATCTTAATAAGGTAATTAATTTAATCAATGATATTTCTGATAATAAGATATGATTATCCTTTTTTTTTTTTATTAAACTATCATTTTCCTGTTCCATATATTGAACTAATACAAATTTTTTTAATTACTGAGGTGTTCGGCCTGCAATCATTATTAAAATTAATAATGGATAATTGCACCTTATAATTTAAATGACTCAAAAGGTCTCCCCTATCTAAATCCCATTCATTTATAAAAAATGCTTCTGTTAATGTGTGAAAAAATCAGCTAATGATAATTTATTGTTTTGATATGGCAGTTAAGGAGCTGTTTTTGGGTTTGATACATTCTTTGCAACTGAATGTAGAAGATTTGGAGATGGGGGTATTTTTTATTGGGATTTTCAGAAGACCCAATTGAAGAGGTCATTCCTAAACTAGAGAAAAAACTATCTGAAGCCGCAGGGAAGGGATGTTGTGGTTTGGTTTTTATGGAGGAAAAGAAAATGATGATATCACAAACAGGTCGTAAAAGGACAGTCAATTTTTTTGTATTGCTTTCTTTTCTCTTTTTGTTTGTTGTTAGGCTCTTACTGGGATTCAAAGTTCAAAATCACCACCTTACAGCCCTAAATTAAGGCAACTCCAGTCCAATAGTAGCACTGATAACTCTGAAGCCAAACTAAGGGCTATTAGCAAAACATTTAAAGGAAGAACAACAACCACATTACTAGCTTTTTGTTTTTCTTTTGTGTTATTTCTTATGATGTCTTGTTCTTTAATTAAGGCCTGTGTAGTGCAACCCAAGATAGAAATGGATCTTCAGTTTGGGAGTCAACAAAGCTGAGTACACATGGGGTTATAATTCAGTGCCATAACTCTAATGCGTTACAACTTTTTGGACAGCCATAGCTCTTATGAGTGGCTTCTTTCCTTAAAACGGATGCACTTTCGATGACTATATAGCCATGTTATTCCTCTTTTTTTTTTTCGGTGGTTTCCCTCTCCATTTGGGATTTCTGAGGTACACTTTCAAATTTAATTGTCCTGCAAACTTCATGAATACACTTTTTGGTCTCACTAAATTGTATTTTCCATATTGTTAGATTTTTTTGTTTTTTTTTAAAACCCGTATTTTCTTATAAAACCTAAGGCTACATTTGTTATGTATAGTCAATTGAATTTCTTTTCTGTTTGCAGATAGCAAACAAGGGTCACCGCAAGCTCGTTTTTGGTGTTAAACTCAGCCATCTTTTCTTGTCCATCAAATTGGAACAGGATGCTTAGGAAGTTCATGAACAACTATGAATCTTTGCTTCCAAACAAGAAGGCTCTTTTTGATATTCCTGTCGCTACGCAACGCTAGTGCATATTTTGACATCAACTAGTGCTGGCAAATTGCTGCTTTTATAGCTGATGGTAGCTTCAATGGTGTGACAATGCATTGTAAGCTTTTCTAATTTTCCCTCATTTTCTTTCCCTGTGAGTTAAAAGTTAGTTCTAAAGATATATGGAAAGGCTTCAGAAAAATGTCCGCAACTATTATCCTTCTGAAATGTTAAAAACAGATAAGTATTGGTCAACAGCTACTGTACTTTCACATCACTTTTGCTAGGTTTGAACTTGGGAGAAAGAAAATGCCAAGCTCCCTCAATCAAAACTAGGAATTTTGGGAACTGCATTCATGCATTCTAGCATAACCTCCCATCTTATTATTTGATTAGGTTTAATTTAATGCTTGCTATTTTCTTGCAGGTACATAAGGCCGCAATTCTTTCCTACAATAATCTTTACTTTCTTTCATCCAATATGTATTGGACCCTATAACAGATGACCTTGGCAATGTATTTGCCTTAGCCGTTTAGAGGTGGTAGGAGTTCCAGTTGATCCTCTGCTTTTGCTGGACTTTTGGGTGAGTCCTCATAGTCTTTGGTTCTCTGTTGTGTATGCAATTCTTTCTGATTATTCTTTGGGCTTAATTAGTTGGTACCTTGGATCGTCTTTAGAAGCTTGTAAAATCCTGACATTCTATGCATATGCAGAATGGTAGTAATTCTTTGAACTTGTTGCCCTGTGGAAGACTCGAAGGAGGCCCGCATAGCGCAAGGCTATGTTTTGGAAGAAGTACAGCTGCTCTACTTCTCTTTGCAACATCTCTTTTGCTTGGTACGGAGTGTCTAAGCGGAAGTGTGCTGTGTTTAGCTTGGGGAATTATTTGCAACCTTCTTTCCGGGGCGGAGAGGAGCTCCCTGCCAAAAGATGAAGATTACACCTATAGGAAATGGATAGATATGCTTGGGGCATTGTTTCTTGGTCTCATTTGTTTTCTCAACTCTTTTCCCAAATGGAGGAGGGAACATTCTCCAGCCCATTTTTTAAGTGATCCATTTTTTAGGGGTGATCTTTAAGAAGGTTATTTGAGTTATATTTTTAAACAACTATAGCGTTTCTTATATTGTTTATATGCTTCATTGGTCTGTATATATATTTAGCTTAATATTTTCCCGCCTTTGTAATTTTCTAAAAATATTTGATTAATGAATAAAAAATTAAAATGTAAATAATATCTTTTTTATTCATGAACTGAAAAACTTTTTTATGAATAAAAACATGGTTTACTTCTATAATTAAACCAACAATAAGTTTTAATAATAATAATAATTAGCCTAATAAAATTTTTGTATATATATATTTTTAATGTTTTTATTTTTTTTAAATAAATAGAACAAAAGATGAGAAACTATAAGATATTTTCATATAAGATTTATTTATAATTATTTGGCTTATAAAAATATATTATATAGGCTTTTAACTGGCCAAAGAAAAAAATTTAATTCTAAAACTTAATATTTTTTTTAAATATAATTTTGTTATTTCCCATGAAATCGGACATGAAGAATTGCAAAGGCAAAAGAGGAAAAAAGTTGGAGTTTAAAATTAATTAAAAATTTTCATCCAACCTATGATTAGTGAACCGTGCATTGGGCCATATTCTATAACTGCAAGAAGTTGGATCCCACATGGCAGCTACAACAATTAAACAGCTAAAAGTAATAAGGCTAAATATGTCAATCCATATAGTAGGGAGGCGAATTGGTAAAGAAACCCAAATCACTGTTCCCAGTGACAGTGACTTCTGGTTTCATTTTAGTGGGGTATATATAATTGTTTTGGCCAACGCACCTATTGTTTTTTTGACGAAAACCGTAGTTGCAAACTCCATTCATTCAGAAACGCCATTTTCACTTTCCTTTTTCGTTTCCCCTTCAATCTAATCCACCGCCATGAAACTCAGGCTTAGGTCTCTGCAATCGAAGAAACTGTTAAATTAGAAGTACCAAACGAGTGTACTTTGCAGGGGCAACTCAGAGAAACCCTTTCTCTTGCTCTCTCTTTCCCTTGTTCTCTTCGTTTGCATTTCTCTCTCAACAGAAGACGAGCTTGTGTCATCGGGTCTCTAACAACGGATTCTCTGATATCTCTCGGTATCACCACGCCGGTGACTTATAATACTTTCTTCTCTAAGCCCAAAGATGAGTTTCCTTTCGCATTCATCAGACGCTAGGTCAAGGACAGGCTCAAGCTCAAAATCACAAGGTAATCTTCAAGAATCCGATTTTGCTTCCAGATGTTGACCTGGAACACAAGAAACCCTAATTCAAGGCTGTTAATGTTAATTTTCAATGAACCAATATCAAAAAGAAATGTGAACCTTCTCCAAATCAAGACCTGAGGTTCTTGGCCTGAATTGCCCAAATGAAGAAACTCCAAATCAAAGCATCCCCGTAAAAGATGCCAAATCTGTGGGCAGGAGCTATACTCAGAAACAGAAAATTTATTCAGGATTTGGTCCATGCAGACAACAATCTAATTTTGGTGGTGAACTTCAAATACCTATATAGAAGAAACCAATGGAAAGCCCAGATGGTATGGGATAATTGATACGAGTTTCAAATGCGATGGTAGAGGATATTTGAGCCATATTTCTTGAAGAGCGTATTGAGGGAAGAATTGGGTGAAAATGTACTGACAATAAGCCTTTTGTTTGTAGCAATTCATGCTAAATTTTCTTAGAATTTGGTTTTGTTGGGATTGATTTCAGTATCCTGGATTGCGAGTTTGATTCTCTTTCATTTTCTGGAAGAGCAGTCCTCCATGTCTTTCACTACTCATTTAACTACACTGTTCCCTGACTCACTGGTAATGATAATGTCACAGAATCAGTTGTCCCTGAGTTTCAAACATTAGGGGGTTTTTTTGTCAATGTCTATTGGCTCTTTGACCCAGGGTCAGTCTTTGGTGCATAAAATTGTGTTTAAACAAAATATAGAATTCGTGTCCCAAGCCAATTAGTTTTTGGATTTGGGTGAAATTCACTCAAAAGAGTGCAATAATTTAATGAGGTTTTATGATTCGTTTATCATGTCTAACCCTGAAATGAAATTTTTAATCTCTGGAAATTGTGAGGGATGAGCTTGCTTATCCGATGTTGATTTGATCTTGTGAAAAGACTGGTTTGGATCTTCCCCTCCTTGCTTGATGCGTTTTGCCGGCAGACCTTAAAGCTCAAGATTTTAAGAATCAACTTTTTTTCCTTTCTGGTGTTGGTATTGCAAGAATGGCATGTATGTGTAAAAGAGATGAGCTATTTTGTCCTTCAAATAAATGAATTTATTGGAAGCAAAAATATGCTGAGGGAATTTTGGGGAACTAAAGCCAGAGATGCAAGGACTGATTAATTGGAAACAAAGATGTTTGTTTCATCTTGGGAGCGCAAGGGGAGGCGCAAGAGGTCAATTTCGGCCTAAAGCCTTGCCTTCCAGGTCCCATTAAGAAGCATGATCCTAATCCACTTATCATTCCTCTTGCAATGAATAAGGTGGGTGATTATGATCGGCTTCCTATGCTTTGCGTGTTCCATCTCCTCTGACACTTCCAGGTCCAAGCTCGAGCATTCCAGTTCGGCGAACTTTTCCAACCGAATTGTAAATCTTTGGAGGATTTGAATGTATTAGTGAGGTTGATCAAGGTTTTCTTCATATGTCATACATGTTCAATGTTAATAACTTAGTGCGGATCTACTAGTATGAAGGCTCCTATGAGAGTCTTTCGTAAAGTAATATTTTGTAAAACATATTCATATGTTGTTACATATATAATATATGCTTGAAGACTTACAATAAATTGATAATAACTTTTTGATAGATATGAGGAATTTTTTTTTTTACGCAACATTTTGTTGAATTGACAAATCAAATGAGTAATTCTAGACTTCTTGTCCTAGTTTAATTTCAATTTTTCTGAGCAAGTAATTCTGGAAATTTGTTAAGCCTTTCTGCTTTTGTTCGATCCTTAATATTTTAGCAACTATGCAAAATTTGGATTTTTTGCAGTACAACAAAAATTTAAGTAAATTCATGGATTTGATTTGATTTAAGGGCAATGGTAATATATGAAAGAACTTGTGTTGTTCTTGTGTTATATGTCATATCATTTGTGATATAGCTAAGCATTTTGTTTCCTTCTTCTGTTGAATTGTATGTATTATAAGCAGGCACTGGAGCCTGTATTTTAAAATATATGTTACTGCTGTGTGTGTGAAAATTAGCCAATACTTGGCCTTGACTATGTATTCATCTATATTTTATATATTATGTTTTATATAATTATGTATTCATCTAAACTAGGCTCTAAATTTGCTGACTGAAATTGGGTTTTGTTGGCCCTAACTCAACTTTTTTAAAGTATTCTCGCATTTTTTTGAGCTGAGCATGGAGCAAGGTACGACATGATCTTAAAGTTTAAGATTCATGGCCTGCGTATGATTCATGCTGCTGAGATGGTAGCAAGGTACGAATGATATTAAAGTTCATATGATTCATGCTGCGTATGATTATGGCTGCTGAGCATGGAGCAAGGTACGAATGATATTAAAGTTTATGAATTCAATGGCTGCGTATGATTCATGCTGCGTGTGGTCTGGTTGATCCTTTTTCATTTTTCGTCTGATTGGTCTTTTCACTTTAAGTAGGAATGAGAGATCTTGACAATAATGTTGTTTTTATCAATTTAGTGAATCTAAGAGGAGGGTTTATTTATATTTATTTGTTTGTTAAGTTTATTTCGGTACATCAGCCCGTCCATTGAATTAAAAAAAAAAAAAAAAAAGTACTGATCCATGTATTCTATGCTAATGGTGGCTTGAGGTTAAAATATTAGTTCTGCTGAAACTTTTTTTTTTTTTTTCATTTCAATAAAGATAAATTTTTTTTTATGTCATTGTTATTGCACTGCGACATTGAATAGTTCCTTCTTTTAAATAAAGGACCGAAAATTAGAGTTTATGGGTTTGTTAAATTTGTTTTTGTATAATATTACGACGAATAAAATTGCATTAACCTTCTCTCTTTGGAAGATAAGGCCTTATACAGAGGATAATACCATGACGGTTTAGACGAGGGAAGAAAGCCTTTCTTGAGTCCTCCATCATGTTGCACAGGGATGATTCAATTCGATTTTAAATCGAAATTCAAATTAAAATCAAATTGATTTAAAATCTATATTAAATCATGGGTCATTGGTTTTGGTTCTAAAATTGTAATCGAAATTGTGAATTTAAGGTTCTTATTTGGCTTCTGGTTCTTTATTTTTTTATATTTTAAATTTTTTATTTATGCCCATTAGACAAAATTTTCTATGTGTTGAAACTGAAAATTTGTTAATTTAATAGTCAAATATAAAATTAGTGAAAATGAAAATATTAAAATTTTTAGAATTACTAATAAATATTATATGAAAGAATAGAATGTGATGTGAGTAAAAGTTTTTAAAATCTCCACATAGACATTATTTAATTTCCAAAATAAATTACTGTTATTATTAAAATTTAGTTTTTAATATTTTAAAAATATTGAAGTGGTTTATTAAAATAAAAAAAATAACACTAAAAAAATATTGAATAATTGAGCATTTATTTTTTGGTTTTTTATTTTCTTAGTAATAACGCCAAAGATGTACTTCCATCTCTTAGACGAGAGACTAATGATTCAAAGTTGAAAAGAGGTGATTTTGGCTGAAAAGCCATGCCAAAAATTCTACTGTTCCTTGATTTGTGCTTCATATAATGTCTACTATTCTTTTGGTTAAAAAAATCAGAGGACCAAAATTGGGCTATAGTTTATTAGCACTTGCTAACTAGTTTGTGGTCTGGTTTAGGAAAGTGGTTTTGTTATCCTCGTCTTTTATTCACATGTTATTGCTTTTAATGCTAATAATACTTAAAATAATTTTTCTTTAAAAAAAAAAAAGATGTAGACAAATATAAAATATATATATTTGTTAGTATATATAAATGTGGGAATAAGAGAGAAATAATGAGATTATCTATAATGCCATTGTTGAAATTTTAAATGTTTTAAATATAATCCTTATTAATAACAATTAAATTTTGTTTTTAAATATTATGCTTATAGATAATTAATGTTACGTTAATACCCCTTATAAAATTTAAAAATGTACCTAAATAAACCTTATAATATCAATTATTTATTTTAAATCATTATCGGCTTAATAAATTTAATTAGTTTGATTTATATACCTAATTCAATTTTTTATTTTAAATAATTATGTTTAATAGATAATTAACGTTAACTATATATTCAATAATATATTATATTTTAATTATTTTTAATGTTATATAGTAAGGGTATACATGAAAAATTAAATATTTTTTATTTACTAATATGTTTTAAATTTAAATACAATTTAAGATTTTAAATTAAATGCTAGAGCTCATTAACATAATTACATATTTTATGTATTTATTTATATATTCTTATTTTGCTCTATTTAATTTTAAATAGATAATAAAATAAATTTTATAATTTATTTATCTATATTATATATAAAATGGAAATAAGAAAGGAAAATAAATGAAATTTTCTATATCTTTTGTAAAATTTAAGATCTTTAAATATATAATAATATCTCTATAATTTGAATTGAATATTTTTTCTTTAATAGATAAATATATATAGATAATTAAATATTTAAACTTTTAAAATTTTAACTATTATTATGTTATTATGTCTAATTAGTTTTATTTCAATTATATTAATTAATAAATAAAAAACTTTCATCCAACCTCTGATCAGTGAAAACCGTGAAATTGGTCAATATTCTATAACTGTAAGAGTTGGATCCACATTGGCAAAGCCTCACAACAATTAAACCAGCTAAAAGCAATGAGGCTAAATATGTCAATGATATAGTAGGGACGGCAGAGTTGGTAAGAAAACCAAAATCAACTGTTCCCCGTGAACAGTGATTCTGGTTTTCCATTTTTAAAGGGATGTATATATAATTTTTTTTTTGCCCACACGCCTTCTTGTTTTTGACGGAAACCCAGTAAGTTGACCAAAATCCATTGTCACCGACACCATTTTCCACTTTCTTTTGTCGTTTCTTTCCAGCCGCCGTGAAACTCGGACTTAGGTTCTCTGCAATCGAAAGAAATTGTTAAATTAGAAGTACGAACGAGTGTTACTTTTGCAGCAAATCAGAGAAACGCCTTTCTCTTAGAGACTGGTTCTTCTTCGCTTTCTTTTTCTCTCTCAACAGAAAAAGACGAGCTTGTGGTTCATCATCTCTACAGGATGTCTCTGATCTCTGTCTGGTATCACCCCCGGTGACCTTATATTACTTCTCTCTAGCCAGATGAATTTCCTCCATCTATCAAACGCTAGGTCCACGGAAAGCTCCAAAAATCAACAAGGTATCTTCCAAGAAATCCGATGCTTCAGATTTGACTGGAACAAGAAACCTAATTCAGGCTTGTTAAATGTTTAATTTTCATGAACCCGTATCAAAATGATGAGAAACGCCAAATCAAAAATGCCGTAAAAGATGCTGAATCTGTGAAGAGGAGCTACTACCTCAGAAACAGAAAATTTAATTCAGAGATTTTGTCCGTGCAACAACAATCTAATTTAAGGTGGTGACGCTTTCAAATTACTCATATAGAAGAAACCATGGAAAGCCCAGAATGGTATTAGATATTGATACCGAGTCCTTCAAATGCGAATGGTAAAGAGGAATATTTGAGCAAATATTTCCTTGCAGAGCGTATTGAGGGAGAATTGGGTGAAATTGTTATGACAATAAGCTTTTGTTTGTGTAGCAATTCAATGCTATTTTCGTAGAAATTTGGTTTTGTTGGGATTGATTCAGTTCTGGATTGCGGAAGTTTGATTCTCTTTCCGTTTTTTTGGAAGAGCAGTCTCCATGTCCTTTCACGTACTTCAGTTAACTACAAGCTGTTTCTGAACTCCTGGCTAATGATAATGTTGACTGAATCAGTTGTCCTGAATTTCCAAACATTAGGGGGTTTTGGTCATTGTCTATGGCTCGTTGACCAAGGGTCAGTTTGGTGGCATAAAATTGCGTTTAAACAAATGTAGATTCGTCCCAAGTATTAGTTTTGATTTGGGTGGAATTCACTCAAGAGTGGGATAATGTTAATGAAGAGTTATGATTTCGTTTTATCATGTCTAAATCCTGAAACTTGAAATTTTTAATATTTTGGAAACTTGTGAGGGATGAGCTTGCCTTATCCGCTGTTGATTGATCTTTGTGAAAAGGCGTTTTGATCTTCCCCCTTGCTTGTGCGTTTTGCCGGCAGAACTTAAAGCCTTCAAGATTTTAGAATCACTGTCCTGGTGTTGGTATTGGCAAGAAATGGCAATGATATGTGTAAAAGAGATGAGCTATTTGTCTTCAAATAATGATTTATGGAAGCAAACTATGCTGAGGAATTTGGAACTGAGCCAGAGATGCAAGGACTGGTTAATTTGGAAAGAAAAAGTTTGTTCATCTTGGGTGGCAGGAGGAAGGCGCAGAAGGGTATTTCGGCCTAGAGGCTTGCCCTTCAGACTATTATTAATTAAATTAATTTTTTAATATTTTAAAATATTTGAAAGTGGTTTTATTAAAATACAAAAAAATAAAAAACGAAAAAAAAATGTTGACAAATTCAGCATTTATTTTTCGTTTTTTTTTATTTTCTTAGTGTACGCTAAAGAATGTATTCCATCTCTTAGACAAGAGACTATGATTCAAGTTGAAGAGTGATTTTGCTAAAAGCCCATGCAAAAATGTCGTACTATTCTTGATTTGTGGCTTTATATAAATGTCTACTATTCTTTTGTTGAAAAAAAATTTGAGAAGAACCAAGTTGCCCATAGTTTAGCACTTGCCTATTGGTTCTATGTCTGAATTAGGAGAGTGGTATGTTAATCCTCTGTCTTTTATTCATTGATGTACTATTTATTGCTGCTGATAATAATTAAGTTTTGGTTCTTCCATTAAAAAAAAAAGGAGAATGTAAGATGGAGTAATATAGATATATCTATTATATTACTATAAAAGTGAGAATGAGGGAAATAATGGGATTACTTATAATGTCTTTCCTTAAAATTTTAATGTTCTACAAATAACTTAATTAATAATGAATTAAATTTTTATTTTAAATATTATGCTTAAATACGATAATTTTGAGTTATGTTAACGCCCTTAATAAAATTTAAATATTATTAAAATAACATTATTAAATGTACATTAATTTATTTTGCATATTATGCTTAATAGATAATTAACATTAAAATTATATACCAATTCAATTTTATTTTAATGTTATGCTTAATAGATTGGTTAGCTTATATATTAATCAAATATATTAGGATTTTAATTATTTTAATGTTATATAATAAAGCTATATATGAAAAATTAAATTTTTATTTAGCCAATATGTTTTTAATTTATACAATTTATATTTAATAAATGTTAAAGCGAAATACCCAATATTACATATTTCCTGCATTTATTATATATAATTATTTTGCTCTATTTAACTTAATATAATAAAATAAGTTTATAATCTCTCTATCTATACTATATATAAAAAGTGGAAATGGAGAAGGAATATGAAATTTTTCTATAATTATTGTAAAATTTAAGATACTCTAAAATAACTTGACATAGCTAATTAAAAAATTTTAACCTGAAAATATATATAATATCTCTATAATTTGGTTGAATATTTTTTTAATAGATAATATCTATAGATAATTAAACATTTAAAATTTTAGTACCATTATCTTATTATGTCCAAGTATATTTTATTTCATTATATTATTAATAATAATTAAATAGTTTTAGTAATTTATTATTTATTATTTTATTTTTATTTACTATTATTGTAATTTGTCTTCAATATTATTATTTTAAATGAATATATGTAAATAAGAGGCATTTGAAAATTTATATTTTTTCCGAATTTATTTTAAATAAATATATCTAGATAATTAAAATTTTGATTTAAAAATGGTATTGTTAAATTTCTTTAATTACAAATTGTGCTTTAATTTGGTTGGTTAAAAAAAAAAAGATAAAAAATTATTATTTTTTTGGTTTGGCTTAAAAAAAAAAAAAGATAAAAAATTATTATTTTTAACATCCTCAAATTTGATGTAATTATATTAGACTATTTTATTAAATTCAAATCCTAACCTTTGCTATTAAGGAATATAATGTTTGAGAAATAGATTTGTTGTAATTTTTCATTGGCTAAAAAAATAAAAAATATTATTATTTATAGATATTTTAAATGTTAGTTTATAGATTTAGTTTCCTTATTGGGGGTATTGTTAAGTATATTTATTTACTAAAAGAGATTACGTTGAAATTTAATTAATAAAGTAATGTAAATTAATTTATAAAAACGGTAAAAAATGAAAAGCTAATATGAATGATGTTTTATAATGCAAATTTGTTGGCCTTAAGAAAAAATAAAACAAGTAGCCGTGGTATTAAAAACTAATGATAAGATAAAAAATTATTATTTTTAAACATCTCAAATTTGATTAATTATATAGATATTTTATTTAATTCAAATCCTACTCTTTCTATTAAGGAATATAATTTTAAATGATTTTGTAATTTTCATTGGCTAAAAAAATAAAAAATATTATTATTTATAGATATTTAATTTAGTTATTAGATTAGTTTCTTATTGTATTGTTAAAGTATATTTATTTACTAAAAGAGATTACAGTGAAATTTATTAATAAAGTATGTAAATTAATTATAAAACGTAAAATAAAAGCTATATAATGATTTTTTATAAATCAATTTGTTGCTTAAAAAAAATAAAAGCAAGTAGCGTGTAATAAAAACTATATAAATCAGTATGTTGAAGAAATATAAATAACATATTTCATATTTAAATTACCAATTTAAAGAAAAAAATATATCAAATTTTTTCAATAAAATATTACCGTGCAAAATATTTAATTAAAAAAAATACTTTACTATATATATAAAAATCACTATATTTACTGTAATTTAAATAATAATTTATATTTTAATTATTCAAATAAAAAATAAAACGTATAAAAAATAAATATATTACGAATACAGTGAATGTGTCGTGAAAAGAACTGGTAAATATAAATATAGAAATAGTAAATACAGGTAGATGATGCTGTGTTCTAATATTTTAAAAAAATTAATAAAAAAATCAATAAATATTGTTACTGATAATTGTTTAAACGTGAAAGTCCATCAGGACCCGTTTGCCGTCCGGAAAACTGTTCATTCTCAAGTTTCGTAATTTCAATTCCCAACTCCAATTTCATGTCTGGCATCCCCTGTTACAGATTCACCTGCAAAATCGTCTACAACACTTAGTTTCTCACAGTCATGTCATTTACGGTCACGGTGTCCACTTCCTCTCCGTCCTCTTTCTCTTCTCAGTGGTTCAATTCGGATCCCAAATTGACTATCCGATTTATCTCTCTTAAATCCACTCCTCTTCCTCGTCTTCTATTTCCTCTTGCTCCTCAAGCTTCTAAAAGGGTTTTCAATACAAACAATAATAATAATAATAACACTAATATAGTAGATGATCATGGAATTTGGAGTCGTTCCATTGACAATGAGTTTTTGAATAATTTAAATGAAGAAGATGAGGAAGAGGAGGAAGAAGAAGATAGAAGTTTGGATCTGTTGGTTAGATTCATTCAAAACCTTTTCAAGAAGGTATCTAAACAAGCCAGGAAGGCGGTGCGATCGGTCTTGCCTGTTTCTATCTCCACCAAACTGGTAATTTGTTTGTACTTTTGAATGTAATTTTTTATTTTTCTTTCTGGGTTTATTTTAATTTGTATCTTTTAGGTGACTTTTTCAGTGAATGGAGTCCTAGTGCTGGCATTTTTGTGGGTATTGAAGGCATTCCTTGAGGTAACATACCTGATTTTATTGTTTCTAAACTTATAATACTTGGCGTAATTTAGTCTATTCTTTTTTGTGTCAATTATCGTTGATTGCATGAGCTATAGTTAATATGGTTCTTAACAATTGATGCTGAAAATATTGATGGTCCCTTGTCAGATGTAATAGTATTCTACCATTCCGAGAAATCTTCATACTTGCAATTTTCAATGTATAATTTGGGAGTTGGGACAAGAAAACTGTAATCTTTCCCCTAGTCCCATCTGTGCCAACTCACAATTTTGTCTTCGGTCGGTATTAGGCTATTAGTTTGAGTTTTTGGTTTCTAGGCTACCTTAAATATGCATTGGAATATCAGAGGAATTCTATGGTAGATTGGAAGTGATGGGTGGGAATTGTACAGACAGAGGACAAGGCCGTTTGGAAAAGACTAGAAGTCATTTGCTCACCTGTCAAAAAGGCATACTAAGGAAAGTTATCCCAACTTTTGAACCCTCAATGCTGTTTTAAGATATTCTTCTCGCCCTGCCAGCTGATCTGCTTGTCAGTATAGAGGGAAAATCCATGTAAGCAATGAGGCAATCTGCATCACAAGAACATCATGAAATAGTAATAACATGTTCAGTGAGCCCCATGAGGTTGTTCTGTTGTCTCTGCAAACCTCAGACAATAGTTAATTGGTTGCATTTTTTACAGCTCTAATCGTTAGAATTCTACCATTTTTTATGCTACTATGGAGTGTATTCTCAATATAGTTTGGTGTGATAAGTTTTGGATTTGTGTATCTCAAATCAAGCCAAATGGGGCATATATGATTTTAAGAGCATCTAGTAATCTCTGTCATGGTGTTATTGTCCATGCATACCATTGTTTGAAGTGGCTCTTATTTTTGACATTAGATCTAATTACAGACTCCTTTTTGTGATTTTGGACACGATTAGCTGACATGCTGTGTATTTTTAGTCTGTTCAAGCTTGAAATAAGACCGGGATGAATTCCATGCTAAATTTCTATTTGCTGTGCTTAGCTTCATAACTTTGTCCTGGATTATTCTTGCTTTTGTGGATGCTGGCCTAAAATAGTTGAGTCATTATGGTTTTTTGTGATTGTGAGCATGTGAGAACTCATTATAAAGCTGTGAAGTGAAAGGATGGTCCTTCCTCCATTTTATTCTATTGCGTATCATTTACCAAACCCCATTGTTGGTGAGTTCTGTGTTAGTGAAGCTTCTTCTGTTTGGTTTGGCGAAGTTTTAACTGCACTGTTATCTAAGGATAAATGTGCTTGTGATTACAGTGGCATGTTTGATTCTTTGAGATTACCAAAGAATCTCACTGTGAAATTATCTTGTTTGTGAATGGAATGGACAAACCTCTGTTGCCTGGCCTTTTGAAAATATGACATCAAAGTGATTCATTATGAGGCACTATTGCAAAGAAGTTTCTTTTTCAGTGACAATGTCTTGGTGGTTACCTGTATTCAAATATATTTTGCTCTTGTGCAATCTTTTTCACGTGCAACCTAAAGTAGAAATGGTAACAAAATCTTGTTTGAAAGCTTGATTTTTTTGTATCAATCGACTGAATAGAGCTCGACTTCAACCTGCTTTTTCACCCTTCTTAAGCTTGAGCTGGAGCCAGTAGATTCAGCTGATGCTATCTCAAATTTTTGACTTGTTGAGAATCTGGGCTCTGGGTCCTAGGAGCAAATTAATCAAATCAAATTCAATTATATGTTTTAATATTAGTCTTATAATGAGTTGGGTTTACTTTTAACACAAAATGGCCTAAGCCATTTTGGTTGGTTCTCCCTTCACATTATATGCCCTTTTAGTTAGTTATATTTATCCGATGTGAGATTACCCACATACTCCAACATGACTCAATATGAAATATGCTTGTGTTTTGTCCTATTTGAAGGGTGAAGGACTCGAACTTTTTTAAATTACATTTTTATAATAAAATGCTGTCAATAATTGGCATTATGGTAGCTAAGACTTGCCAAGCTAGGGTCTAAGCTCATGTGGATGCATATATTTCATTACTCAAATGTGGCATGACGGAACCTTGATAAAGCACATAGTTATGGCTTTTAAGCTTGTTAAGCTTTAGTCTTTGATTGCTGCTGCTTCAACACCCCCCCCCCCCCAGCTAGGAGTTTCCTAAGGCTCATCGTGGGATGCATATATTTCATTACTCAAATTGTGGCATTGACGGAACCTTGTAAAGCACAATAGTCTATGGCTTTTGAAGCTTTTGTAAGCTATTTAGTTCTTTGGGATTGCTGCTTTGCCTTTCCAAACACCCCCCCCCCGCTTATCTTTTTTTTTTTTTTTTATTTTACTTGTTTGTATTTGGTTCCCCCCCCCCCTTTTTTTTTTTTTTTTATTTACTTGTTTGTTCTTTGTTTCAACTATAGGTGGTTTGCACCCTTGGAAGTGTAGTTTTCGTAAGCATCTTACTGATACGTGGAATATGGTCTGGGATAACCTACCTACAAGAAAGCCGTTATCTTAAGATGAATGAACTTGATGATGATCACCATGCATGGACTGGTGCACAACCTGCAGCTTGAATTTTTTTCATTTAGAGAAGGAAAGGTTTCGGGGATCGAATCCCAATCAAGAATAAGAACATAAGCCAATTTGGTACTATTGAAGCACTTGAAGGGAAAATAAGGTAAAGCTTTTGTTGTATGTAGAATAGCAAGGATACCCTTTATATATTATACAAGATCACATGCATGTATTAGTTAAATTTTGAATCTTTGCTGCTGGAAGAAAGCTACTTATAAATTTGGTAGCTTTTAAGAATAACACCATAATAACAATGTTGTATCATAAACATTCTTATGCTTAGAAGTGAGATGCAATCTTCTGTTTCGGAAAGGACTTGCTTCTGCAGAATACAATTTGTGCTTGGTTTGTCCCCAGTTTCAACTTGACTGATAATTGGGCTTTGGATTACTTGTAGAAATTGCACATGTTCCTTTTGGGATTAATTACAAAATTCCCCTTGAGGTTATACCGTTTGATAAACGAAAATATGAATAGTGAAACTATATTTTTCTTAAATTAACTTTTTTATGATTATAAATTATTAAAAAGTAATAAAGTTAATTACATTTTATTAATATTAAAAATAAATTATTTAAATATTATATAAAATAAAGTTTAATTAGCATTTTATTAATGATTAAAAAATTATTATTTTAATATTCATAGTAAACATTGAAATTACAATTTCTTAACATTTCGATATTTTAACGTATTAGTTTTTTATTTGAAATATTAAACTAGTAAAAACACTAATAATATAAAATTAAATATAAATTTCTTAAATTCATATTTTATATTATTTTTTATTTGAAATAATAAACTAGTAAAAACTAATACAAGGTATATTGTGATATATCAAGAACAACTTATGCCCTAGAAGTATTTAATATATTGGATATTCAAAATATTCGAGTTTGAATTTGATTAGGCTCGACTAAATAACTACTAAAAAACCGTTTCTTAAAAAAAAAAAAAAGGAGAAAAAAAGAGAATGAAATAAAACCGTTCCTTTGGCTCAACTTTCCATCAAGTAAAACAATAGAAATCATCCCAATTTGCAATCTTAGTCGGAATAAGGTATACACTATAGAGAGGACAAGGATAATATTAAACACAGAAAAGATTGGTAACTCAAAAGTCAAAACCAAGGAAGGGACTACAATACTCCCGTTCCCAAACAGCCTAATCCTATCCAATAATCGCCGTTTGTCTGTCCCAAGCTTCTCTTAGCTGGCCACAAGCGGCAAAATTTTAAAAGTTCAAAAATCAAAAATAGAGAAATAAAACCTAACCACAGTAAACTCCCAACCAATAAAACCATAACACATCATTAAATCAATCAACGTCTCTTTCTTCGTTACCCTACCTTAACCAAACCATAGTTAAATCCACCAAATATCCTAACCTCCTCTCATCGTCTCTCTAACCATAAATACCCCCAAAACAATACTTCATCTCCATCTATCACAAGGTTAAACCAGAAGGCGTCTTAATAAACGCCTTCGCTTCTTAGCGTTTCATATTCTCTTTCGTTCGTCTTCTTTTTCCTATTTCGATTAGTAGTTTTTGTGAATTCAATCAGCGAAAATGAGAGAGTGCATTTCAATCCACATTGGTCAGGCTGGTATTCAGGTTGGAAATGCCTGCTGGGAGCTTTACTGTCTTGAGCATGGCATTCAGGTCTGTTTCTCTATACCTGCGTGTCTCTTTATATATATGCTTAGATCTGTGATTTATTTTGAGTCGGATCTGTTTTTTTTCTTCAGATCGATATTAGTTTCTATAATGTATGAATTATCAATCGAAAATTTGATCAGATCTGTAATTCGTTTAACTTCGTTCCCTTTGTTTCTGCTTGGATCTGTGTTTTTTTAGCTATTTACAGTTTTTGTCCCTCAAATTTGCTTCCGTTTCTGTTCTATTAGGCTCTAATCTCTCTCATTTCAGATCTATCAGTTTCGTTTCTCATTTTGGTTTTATGTGCTGTTTGCGCTTCAGATCTGTTCTAAATTGTTAGATCTAGGGTTTGGTTATTAGGTTAAGTGATTAGTGATTTAAATTTCAAATTTTTGTTGTTCTCTTCAGCCTGATGGCCAGATGCCAAGTGACAAGACCGTCGGTGGAGGTGACGATGCCTTCAACACCTTTTTCAGTGAAACTGGTGCAGGGAAGCACGTGCCTCGCGCTGTCTTCGTAGATCTTGAACCAACTGTCATTGATGAAGTCAGGACCGGAACTTACCGCCAGCTCTTCCACCCTGAGCAGCTCATTAGCGGCAAGGAAGACGCTGCCAACAACTTTGCCCGTGGCCATTATACCAGTAATTATCTTCTCTTAATTAGTAGAATTCATATTTATTTGTTAGTTGCTTGTTATATAATTCTAATGGTTCTTTTTATTGTTTGGTTTGCTTCAGTTGGCAAGGAAATTGTTGATCTCTGCTTGGACCGTATCAGAAAGCTTGCAGACAACTGCACTGGTCTCCAGGGCTTCCTTGTGTTTAATGCTGTTGGTGGTGGTACTGGATCTGGTCTTGGATCCCTTCTCTTGGAGCGTTTGTCTGTTGATTATGGAAAGAAATCCAAGTTGGGTTTCACTGTCTATCCATCTTGCCCGTGGCCATTATACCAGTAATTATCTTCTCTTAATTAGTAGAATTCATATTTATTTGTTAGTTGCTTGTTATATAATTCTAATGGTTCTTTTTATTGTTTGGTTTGCTTCAGTTGGCAAGGAAATTGTTGATCTCTGCTTGGACCGTATCAGAAAGCTTGCAGACAACTGCACTGGTCTCCAGGGCTTCCTTGTGTTTAATGCTGTTGGTGGTGGTACTGGATCTGGTCTTGGATCCCTTCTCTTGGAGCGTTTGTCTGTTGATTATGGAAAGAAATCCAAGTTGGGTTTCACTGTCTATCCATCTCCTCAAGTCTCCACATCTGTTGTTGAGCCCTACAACAGTGTCCTTTCTACTCACTCCCTTCTGGAACACACTGATGTGGCTGTGCTTCTTGACAATGAGGCCATCTATGATATCTGCAGGCGCTCTCTTGACATTGAGAGACCCACTTACACAAATCTTAACAGGCTTGTCTCTCAGGTGAATGTTTCTCTCTTTCTGTTTGATTATTAGGCGCCTCCCATGTAACATTTAAGTTTGGATGTTGTAACCATTAGGTGCCTTTCATACTAACATGATTATTTTATGTGGTTTTTCAGGTGATTTCCTCATTGACTGCCTCTTTGAGGTTTGATGGTGCTTTGAATGTGGATGTGACTGAATTCCAAACCAACTTGGTCCCATACCCAAGAATTCACTTCATGCTTTCCTCCTATGCACCAGTCATTTCTGCAGAGAAAGCTTACCATGAGCAACTCTCAGTTGCTGAAATCACCAACAGTGCTTTTGAGCCTTCATCTATGATGGCCAAGTGTGACCCTCGCCATGGCAAGTACATGGCTTGTTGCCTCATGTACCGTGGTGATGTTGTGCCCAAGGATGTCAATGCTGCAGTTGCCACCATCAAGACCAAGCGCACAATTCAGTTTGTTGATTGGTGCCCAACTGGATTCAAGTGTGGTATCAACTACCAGCCACCCACTGTTGTTCCTGGTGGTGATCTTGCCAAGGTGCAAAGAGCTGTTTGCATGATCTCCAACTCAACCAGTGTTGCTGAGGTGTTCTCACGCATTGACCATAAGTTTGATCTGATGTATGCCAAGCGTGCTTTTGTCCACTGGTATGTGGGTGAGGGTATGGAGGAAGGTGAATTCTCTGAGGCTCGTGAGGATCTTGCTGCCCTTGAGAAGGATTATGAAGAGGTTGGGGCTGAATCAGCTGAGGGCGAGGAAGGTGATGACGATGAATATTAAGCAGTTTCTGGGAATCTATATATGCTTTTGTCAATGGCGTATGTTTTTACTTTTTTGGATTGTCTTGTTATGAACCATTCTCTTAATTGAAGCCATCTTGCTTCAAGAATATGCTTCAAACTATTCTAGTAATGAATGCTATTTACTGTTTAATAAACTATTCTGTCGGGATTGCGTTCTGACTACTTTTGTTAGTCTAATGCTGTCGTCGCGTTGGTTCTTTTAGATTCTTTTGATAGTTAAAATATGATGACGTTGGAGAAAACTCTGTTCTGAATTTTTTTGGGTATGTTTGTTTGGTTAGGTTTGAAGATGGAATTGCATTAAGGTTAGATATTTATTGGGGGAAATAGTTGCAATTTTATTCTTAAGAAATTAAATAAAATTTGATGGCAGCTGTAACAAATTAAATTTGTCAATTTTTGATAACTTTAAACAAAAGTTAGATATTTATTGGGCGAAAAAAATTATAATTTTATTTTGAAGAGATTAAATGAAATTTGATGATAGCTATAACAAATTAATTTTGTCAATTTTGATAACATCAAACATTTGATGATGCCTGGAAGATTACAAGTGGCGTTTCGTTGCATCATGCATGTGCAACTCACCAGAGGATAATTTACCCCCCACCTATTTTACCTCACTGCCACCTTTACCTCCTACGCAACCACATCTTCGTTAATAAGCCTCATTTCTATCGCCTCTTTTACTATCCCAGTTCTCAAGTGCCTGAGCTGGAACTTCTGTAAACCGTTTGTACCATTTTCTCCTTCAACATCATAGTTGGTTACTGAGGAGGGATATGATCACCGGTGATAATAGAATTGGCAAAATCATATTAGTTCTTCTCTTTATTGCTTTATGCCCTAATTATCAATTAGAAGGTTAGAAGGTTAAAGTTGATAACTTAAAGCCATTTATATGGTTATTTTGTAAATTAAGGATTTCGGTTTTGCTGGTACATGTTGCCATATTTAGTAGCAACTGACTTGTTAGACGAGATAAAAGGAAAGTTTGAAAAAGGGAGAAGCTTGGAGTAGAAGAGACATGGGCAGAAGAGAAAGGATAAAGCAAAAGTAGGGCAAGTGGAGTTAGGCAGAAGATTAATGAGGAGGGATGATTTTTATAAATTCTGACAATTAAACTCTGCACTTTGAATGTGTGAACTACAAAAGAAACCTCTCATAATAATGCTATGGCTAATTCTGTTTGTTTGTTTCTTTTTCTTTTTCAAAATCATATATAGATTGGACGGAAGTAGAGATCTTGATCCAATTTGAGGACTAGGGAATCCAGTAACTAGGGCGGCCCTTTTAAGGTTTAAATGGTAGAATCATTGTTTTGGAACCGGTGAAAATTGAAATTGGAATTGGCTAAAATCAGAACTAAGACTTGTGAATATGTGGTTTGGTTTGGTTATGATTCTCTCTTTTGGAACCGGCGGTTTTGAAGTTTTGCTTCATTATACGTTTCTAACAGTTATATTTAAAAAAAAAAAAGCTAGAAAACCCTAAATTAATCTTCACAGTTATACAGCGGTTAGTTTCTAAGGGTATTTTTAATAAAAAATTTTGAATTTACTATAAATATCAAAATTTTTTCTCTGCTCTCTAATCTTTTTAATCTCTCCAATTTACTATTATTTTCTCCATTCCATAAATATAATATTATCTAAGTGATCTCTCACTATTTACTCCATAATTTTTCCAAATACTTTCATTTTTTTTTTTCTATATTCTTACTTTTTTTACCCACTAATTTTTGCAAATAATCTTTAATTTTTTATACTCTATTTTTTAACATAATATTATTTTATAATGGAAATGGAGGAAATTCAAATTTCGTCAGGCAAGGGAAAAGTTGGAGAAATGCAAAATTCAATCTCATATATGCCTGTGAATGACATGTTCGACTTCATTCATAATTCAAATGAAAATATAGATATTACAACTCAAGAATCCAAACTTAATGAAGTAGATGATTTAGAAGATCAAAATCCTCAATTTGTTTGACAATCAAGACAAAGTTTTGACATTTTCGCAATCTTTTTCAAGAAGAAATTTAAAAGAGACAAATTATACGATGCAATTATTATTGTGAGTGTCCTATAGATACAAATATGCGGATAGCTGTGAAATATTTTGAAAGCACTTGAAGGCAAAACATCCAACAAAGTTAGGAGTAGACTGAGCTCAAATACAAATTTCCAAGTACACATCTTATAACTCTTTTTTATTTAAATATTCTAAAAAAAACAAAAAGAATAATTAGCTAACATAATTTCTGTGGAACATTTATCTTTTACTTTGGGTGAAAAATTGAGTTTTAATCGATATTGTCAAAATGCTTTAAATCCTTGTGCTAAACAAGTGCCTAAGAGTTCTCTAAAACAAACTGTTTTATCTTTATATAAAAAAGGCAAAAAACAGTTAGAAGTTTTATTTTTGCAAATGTATGGATTATATAGGATTATTAATTTAATTTTAAGTGAATATAAATTAGTTAAAAAGATTTTTTTCAATTTCATTTGAGAATGCTTTACCGATACTGCATTAATTGTTGATCTTGAAAGAATTTGTGAATCCAATCTTGGTGAAAAAAGTTTTCATATTAGATGTGCATGTCATGTTTTAAATTTATGTGCACAAGACACTTTAAGAATTATTGATTCTTTTATTTTTTCCAATTAAAAAAGCAATTTCATATTTACTGGACATCCCCAAACAATGAAAGAATGAGCTAAATTTTGCAAAGTAAATAATAACAAACTAAAACGTTTTCCAAGGAATGTGCAAACTTGTTGGAATTTAACATATGAATTATCAAATGAGTCTTTTGGATATAGAGAATTATTATGCATATTTTTTACTAATCATGTGCCACAAGTTAATTTATACCCACAAAATTGGGAAGTTTGTATAAAAATTTTGGATATTTTAAAAATTTTTAATGATTCTATATATACTTTTAGTGGAGTTTATTATTTCGCATCTCATTTATTTTTGCATGTATGCATTGCTATTGTTGATGCTTTTCAAGAATTTGAAATTAATGAATTATTAAAAGATTGCATTTTTTCAATGAAAAAGAAATGATTAAATTATTCTAAAAATATTTTACCCCTTTTTGTTATTGCTAGTGTTTTTGATCATAGATGTAAATTTCGAAGTTTTATATGATTATTTGATTGTTTATTATAAAATGCTAAATCTTGACCCAAAAGACAATGTAAATATAATAATGAATGAAGTTGGGAAAAATATTATAGATTTATATATTAAATTTGTTCAATTTTTTGGTTTACCTGCTTCTGATTCGTCTTAAGTTCATAACTAATCATTGGCAAACCAAAGGGTAAGTATCGCTGATCAACTACTATTACAAAAACAAAAAAAGATCTAAAGGATCCGGTTGTAGTTCTACTATTGAACTTAACAACTATCTTAAATTTTTATTTTAAGTTTGGTGATAGTATTACGGGTAACAACTTTCCATTTTTAAATTGGTGGAATCGCCATGTCAATACATTTACGATCCTTGTACTAATAGCGAAATAATTTTTAACAGTACCAATCTCAACTGTTGTGATTGAACGAGCTTTTTTAGTGTAGAGGGAAATATACTAGATGAAATACGATTTTAGATGGTACCTGAATTAATGGAACCACAAACATGCTTGGATGATTGGATAACGCCGAACTAAGGGCACAAGAAAATGTCAAAGAAGAAAGTGAAGATTTATATGATATTCTTGATAGGTCCTTAACCGGAACATCCACCGGTGCCAAGAATGGCTAAGTGAGGTAAATGAGTGATCTTATACAAAATAAGTTAGAACTTCATAGATTTTGATTCATCTAAACTCCGAGATGATAGATAGGTAGTTTAATTTTTTTTTTCTTTTCCAAACATTTGTTTTTCTAATTTTTCATTAGTAACAGAATAATAGATCATAAAGAAGAGAGAGAAAAAAAAAAATCAACACATTAGGTTAAGGTAAGTAATTCAGTAATTGAATATTCATTTTGGAATATATTAAAAAAAAAAAAAAATTGAAGAGTTCAGCCATCGTCCTCTGTTTCTATCATCTCTAAAGCAAGGTTTTAATGCTTTTGCAGTTTTGGGGATTGCTTTGTAGGAAAGAAATGGCCAATGTATATTTCAATATATATAAAGGATAGGCTCCTTCTCCTACAATTAACTTGCCAAAGCTTTTGTTGGGAGTATCATGTATCATGCAGATCACACGTTGTTAAGACCTTTTTTTGCCTTTTTAAGAGTTGTTCAGGAAACCAACGTGTAGTTATCACATTGTTAAAATTTTATTGTTTATCTTTTGATTTGCCAGATTGATTGAAACCAATTTCTCAATATCTGAACATAATTAATAATAAGAATCTCCTGCATTTTTTCACAGATCCTAGTAGAATATAATTTGAAAGAGAAAGTAAAGAGTTAAGCCATTTACAACTTTCATGCCCATTCAACAAGCAGCTGGAAATTGAAAGATGTCTACCTTAAGAAGTTCTTACTGACAGGTACATGAAGTATTTACATAGGGAAAGAATTAACAAGGACAAAGGAAATAAGTTACAGGAATTTACTTTGAAAGACTTGGGAATCTGGCTTTCAAAGAAATAACTTGTCCTTCATTTTAAACTAGGAGCTATTTGTGATATTCTTTCATCTTCAAGAAGTTCATAAGGATCGATATATGGTGGTGGTGAGATCGCTCTGTTGCTTGCATCATGGACAAAACTTGGTCCAAAATACTGCAGAGTGAACGATGAAGCATGTCAGTAATTGCATTTCATAGAAAAACTTAGGTGGAAGTGATATGATGATGTAATGAACAGCAAAAAAAAAAGTAGTAAATGTTCATATTTGCAATTCTATAGAATGCTGGATTTTGATAGCTTCACTTCTCAAACACAAATAAGACGAACTTTCATGATGTGTATAAATAAATAATAAATGGAAGTGTAACTTGATAAAATATCCAACCAAAAATAATGGCTTTTCCATAATTGATGTTTTCTGCGATGACCAAGACACATCCAGCCCAAAGATTATTGCAAAAATTAAGTACCTTAAGCTAAATACTATACTAAAGATTGTTGAGAAAATGAATTTTTGGTTGCAGTCAACTGTTATGCCGAATACACCTCAGGCTCAGCAAACAGCATGATCATTTGAGCTTCAACTTGATAATACTAGATCCGAAATAAAATTAAAAAACTGACCAATTTGAGTCAATTTAGCATATCATTTTGAACTATATTCCTATTCATTCTTATTTGGCGAAAATCGACTGAGTAGATCTTGTGGCCACTCTATTCCTATTCAGAAAGATAGTAGTTGAGAATACATCCTCAAAATCTGGAATAAATTCCGTCTATGTTTACAATCACCATGGGAAACAGACTTCAACATACTTCCAACTTCCAAATTTCAAATCCCTATTTAATTGCCTCCAGACAAGTTAATAATCGAATAATATGGCAGACTAGAAGTAATAAAACATCATAAATCACAAAGAAACAGAACTTACAAAGTAAAGACCAGAAAAGAATGCCACAGTTAGGAGAATCAGTGGCCAAAATCCCAGAAAGAATGTCCCTCCGAGTGTGAGCAAAAGTTTAGCACGAGGAATTAAACCCTGAAACAGAAACAAATTTTTAGTACCTTTTTTGCCTGTATGCACATAAAGAGCAAAAAGTAAAGTTCAGTACTAATAAAAATATGAACCAACTAATCACGCACCCTTATCTGATTCATAAAGAAGAAACAAACTAAACCAGCAATTAGTGCTATCCTTATTAGAAGATGCATGATACTCATTCTAATTCAATCAAACCCAAGTCAGAAACAATACCAGAATTGATTGGTTTATTAACATTGCAAGCACCACAGAGGGATTGATAAAAAAAACATTCCACACAAGTATTAAACAAAAAACAGCCACTTTTTCACAGAAAATAAAGAATTTGAGCAATTTATGGCTCATAACATGCTTTGAAGCAAACCGTCAAGAGGCAATTTTAATGCAAATCAGGGGTAAAATATTTCACAACATATTGAATGTTGATCATTTCCTATCTGTTTAGACTCGATTTGGTTATCTACTTCAAGAACTCACAATGTCAAGTGATATAAACTGTTCTAAAAGGTGTTATCTAATGAACTCTGGGCATAAGTAAACAAGAAACAATAAAGAAAACTTTTTTTTTTTTTTGTTTATAATATTTCTGTGATCAAATCGCTTTAATTTCAGAACAAAAAGATCAAAATTTTTAGTATAATTTCCAATATTAACATAAAATTATGCTCAATTATAAAAAAAAAAGTAAAAAAAAAAAAGGTTACCTCAAGGCCTTCACTATTCAATGCCATGGATCGCTCTCTTTGATTAGAAATTCCTTTATCAAATTCAGTAGAAACGGCGTTTCTTTTAGGAAAACCTCTATCTTCTTCTCCAATCTTTATTTCATCTTGCACTCCATAACTCCCTCTGCTAGTTTCCTCGAGCAATGAAGTTGGAGTCATTCCTCTCCTCTTCAATTCCTTCATGAACAACGATTCTGGCGGTTCCTCACCTGAAATAACACGGAAATTCCAAAATCAGAATAGCAAAATCAAACACAAAAATGAAAACTTCAACTCTAAAAAAAGCAGAAAACTTGCCATTGCTTTGGTTTTCTCCTTCTTGAACTGAACATAAAACCCTCAATTTCGGTCTCAGGATGTGTTTTCTTGAACTCAAAGCACTAAAACTTTTCAACCTGAAAACTGTTCTCCTGGAATCCCATTTTCCGGGAAAATTCGGCTGTGAAATGGAAACTGGAGATAGAGTGGTTTTCAGTATGTATAAAGAAGCCATTTTTCTTATGACCTGTTTAGCATCACAGCTTCAAATTATTGAAAAAGCTCAAACCAACAGAATTTTTTTAAAAATTTAAATTATTATAAAGTTCTGTTAGAAGAATACAGAGGAAAGAAGCGGTGGCGAGAAATGGTGGCTTTGTTGTCACCTAGTGGGTATTCAGTGAGAATGTATTATGAGGGGCTAATGTGCGCAGGGGACGATGCGTGTATCTGATAACTTTTGTGGCTTAGAAGTTGAGTGACGTCACTTTAGGAATAGCCCACACATTTCCGGTCTCCACGAGAATGAAGCGAAATTATACAAATAATTCCAAATTGAAGTTAGCTAAAAAATATATAATCATTTCCGGTTTCGTTTCTTTTGATTTTGAAAGCGTTGAAAATTTTGGATTTACGTTTAAAATTAGAATCTTTCTTTTAAAAATTTATATAATCATTTTACAGGAAAAACATATTTTTTATAAAATAAACAATGAATTAAAATACACCCATTCTAATCAAAAGATATAATATTTTTAAATTTTTCTTTTCATAATAAATTGATAGGACCAAACCCTCGAGAGTGAGATGAGATCACAATGATTTTTTTTTTTAACTTGAGGTTTTGAATTTAAGTTCGAATCTTTCTATGAATAGAATCAATGACACTTTTTCCTTTTTAATTAGAAGTCTTGAATTATGGATCTATTCTGTACGAATTTAAATTAATAAGATTGTGAATCCGAATTAGCAATACCAGTCAAAAAAATATTTGATAGGATCAAGGGCTTTTGCTTTACTACACTCAATTATAGGTCAAAACCATCAATCGACCCGCAAGTTAAATGGTTAAATAGAAAGTTTTAACATTTTAAAAATAGCTATAGTTAATAAAAAAAATTCATAGTATAAAGAAAAATTATTAATCCTACTAACTTTCCTATTAAAATTATGCATGATAGATCCCTCAATCAATAAAAAAAATATGCATGATGTATCGGATTATGCAAAATCTATAATTGATCCCCGAATATTTTTATATATTATGTTTATATCCACTCTGCTCATATTCAGATATTATCCGTTTTTATTGTGTTTAAAAGAAAAATAAAAATAAAATAACAATTTAATAAAAATTCATATTATTTATTGATGAAATACAAAAATTCCTAACAATAATTAGAAAATATCATGTGAACTAGAAGAGACTTTAACAATTGTTAAGCACAAAAGAGGTCATACTAGGGATTGTAACGTTCAACTCATATTTTTTTATTTGAAGTAGAGATTGAAAAAAAAAAATTATTTGAAGTAGGGATGAAAGAGTTGTTGAAGATAAAGATTTAAAATATAAATGAAAAAGAAAAAAGGAAGAGAAGAATAAAGGCATCTGGACTGCTCAACAATTTTATAAATATAAGAAAAAAATAAAATTATTTTCACGGATCGGATTATGCTATATCCGCATTCGATCTATATACACATAAATTTTATTTTAAAAATTCATATCCGATCCATCACTAAATGGATTGAATTTTATCCGCTCTATTCAGATGATGTCATTTGATCATCCCTAATTATATTATATATATTGGAGAGATACAAAAGAATGAAGAAATTATTGGCATCAGTAAGATGGCTCCAAAGCAATACCCATCAACACTGGACCACAATATAATTAATAAGACTTGCAGGTCTTAATTGCTTCTCTAAAATAATTGAATAATAAGTATACTTCCAAAAACTGTACCCTAACTTTTATGTTGGTTGTGACAATTGTTCCTTTTGCAAAAGATATAAGGAAAAAGAAAAGGACATAACCACTTTAACTCTTTCTTTGCCCATATCTGCTCACCAAAACTACTCCTAATGTCCTAAAACTACATAAAAAACATATGTTTTTTTTTTTTTTTTTTTTTTTTTTTTTTTTTTTTTTTTTTTTTTTTTTTTTTTTTAGGTCTTAATTTGGCTGTCTCTAAAATAAATTGAATAATAGGAGTATACTTGGCCAGAAAAAGGCTGGTGACCCTAACTTTTTATGTTGGTTGTGACGGGAATTGTTCCTTTGCAAAAGGAGTATGAGAAGAAGAAAGAAGAAAAGGACATAACCACTTAACTTCTTTCGTGTTCGCGCATGATCTGCTCACCAAAAACTACTCCTAATGTCGCGAAAACGACAGTGAAGAGAACATATGTTTGTTGGTGTGTTTTTTGTTTTTTTTTTTTTTTTTTTTTTTTTTTTTTTGTTTTTTTTGTGCTACGTGTTATGTCGTGACCAACATTATTAAGCTAACAAGAAATGTTTGATTGAGAAGATATTGTAGTGAACCAATGTTGTGTTGCTTGTTTTTCCTTTTTGCTTTTCCTTTTTTTTTTTTTTTTTTTTTTTTTTTTTTTTTTTTTTTTTTTTTTTTTTTTTTTGTCTGAGCGTTTGGATGGTCTACCAACATTATAGCTAACAAAAAATGTTTGATTAAAGATATGGGGTTATGAACAATTTTTTTTTTTTTTCCTTTTTGCTTTTTCCTTCTGTTCTCCTGAGTTGAACCAGCACCATCGTTATTTCTTACTGCAAATTTTCTCAAACAGAAATATTATTAGTGTATTAACACTTCTCGTATGCTATAACAGAAGTGCACAACATTCACAAACTTGTTCTCTTTTCCATTTTACATGTATAATATAATACATTAGGTATATCAAATAAGAGCATCAGCAACATATATCAGCTTCTTTCATAATACCCTCTTGCAGATTCGAAGTTTCTGCTAAACTACTTTCTTTACCTGGATTGATTGGAATGTTGTTGCGTGTGTTCGAATGAAATCCGATACAACCAAAATAGTGTCTCCCTCATTTATCACCCTCTTTGTTCTCATAAAGTCTATAGTTTTCGAGATGTTGTCTTCCATGTCATCTGATAGATCAACAAGGAGGGGGGTAACTCCCCACCGCAAATTCAGAGCCATATAAGCACTACTGTCACCAGTGAATGCGAATATTGGAGGATATGGGCGATTGCGGGATAGAAGTGATGCCATTTGTCCATGATTTGTATACACAAAGATTGCATCCACACCAAGGTTGTTAGCTGCAGAACAAAAAAATTATTACCTAATAAGTCTGTGTGTTAGTAAAGAACAAACATTTACATGCTAGCACGTAGGCGGGAAAGCAAGAGAAAATCAAGTAAATTCACAACATATAGTAGCTGATGTCTAGATATACTATATAGCCAATATCTGTTAGTGTTTGACTTCTAACAAGATACTTGATAAGGGGATCAATATAAATTAAGTTACCAAATAACCTTATTGGTTTCCCATTTTCATATTAGAATAATACAGGGAAGTTAAAAGAAAATAACTTCACCCATTTCAACAGCAAAATTGCATATTTCTTCTGCAATGCGATCATGGAGTGAGTCTCCAAGTTGAGATTCACGAAGAATACTTCCTCGGTTTTCCTCATGACTCCATAGTTCCATTCGACTGCTAACCATCCACAAGACAGAAAGAGCCTTCTGTCCATACGATCCAATAGCTGACTCACCAGACAACATCAGTGCATCAGCATACTGTCGGACTGCTTCAGAAACATCTGCCACCTTGTTGCAACATAGAAGAAAAACACTAATGAAATTTCGAAACATACTCTGTACTATCATTATCCTTTAGAAAGCAAAGAAGAAGAGCTGCAAAAGAAAGAAAAGAAAAGGCAAATCCCAGAAAAGACATCTTAATTAACAACAAAGAGATGTCTCATCCCAAACAAACCCAAGAATCTCATTATTCAACATTTCCAACTGACAATCTGAAAACTTCTATGCCATCATGTGATGAGGAAACCTTTCACTTCAAACAAAGTAAAATGAACATATAAAATCTCTTGCTGCCAAACATTATAAAAAAAAGCAGTCCTTTTCTCATTCTTTTATGCAATTTTATAGATACAGTATGATGGAGTTTGTGATTTTCCATTCAAATTGGCCTTTTTTATATTTAGTCTCTCTAATTGTGCTTTCTATTGCCTCTTAAATTTTTCAACAAAATATCTTACATTTATATATATGTAATACAAACCTTTTTTCATTTTCCCTTTGATGTCTCTCGCCTTTCTCTAGAAAAAAAGTCCTTACAATGGAAATGCAAAATGTAAGAGACTTTGTGGTACAATACCTCAGCGCGTGTTGGGGTTGGATATTCAATCATTGACTGGAGAAGTTGAGAAGCTACAATCACAGGCTTGTTTAATTGTCTACAAATATGAGTTATTTCCTGTTGAACTATTGGAATCTGTTCAAGAGGGATTTCCACTCCAAGGTCACCACGAGCCACCATAATTCCATCAGACACCTCTATGATTTCTTTCAATTTCTGAAGAGAATTCAAACTCTCAATCTTTGCTAATACTCTTATTGATCTGTAAATGAAAATACACATCTTACAGCAAACTCATAATTCCTACACATATGTAGGAGCAAATTCCTTCTCATTCATTGGCAAAACTATTAAACTCAACTATCCATATTTAAAATGAGAAGCAGATGAATGACAGAATCAACAAATTTTATGGCATTTAGAATATGGCAAAATCAGCTTGCCAGGCATTAAGATCAGCTACATACTTTGATAAGTAAAGGGAATTTGCCAACTCTTTGCAAGCAAGTGGTAGTGCAATACAACAGTGAGAGATAATTTCAACATTAAGCAGCGGAACATGATGCATGAAATGCATGATCTAAGAAGTTTAAGCTGAAAAAAAAAAAAGCTGCGAGTTGTATGTTTTACAGCATGGCTTTTTTAGGCAATGCTGCTGTAATACATCATACAATATTACTAACAAAAGGGAGTTTTTTCTTGAAAGAAATATATATATACTAACTCAGTGAATCCTACTTACTTGGCTGAATTAGTGGAGAGGTAGTCCTTTAGATGCTTGACAGAATCAGCATCATTAACAAATGACATAGCAATCAAATCAATACCTTCAGAAATTCCGAACTTGATATCAGCCCAATCCTGAAGGAATGAAAATAGGAATCTTGAGTATGATAACATGCAAATACTTCCCACAAAGAAAATATAATTCAAAATTCTCCAATATTATCATAAAACAATCTATTTGTGTTAAATATTCGAATGTAAATGCCAATGAACCAATGAAATTTTAGTGACAACGGCCTGCATGCTACCCTTATATCCTATAAGCCTGTACAGGATTTATATCCACATTTAAAGAAACAAATATTTAAGCATAAAAGTAAGATCAGGATTAAACCCTTAAGAGACCGTGAAGCCAATACAAAAAGAGAAGCATACGAAGTCAACCTTTGATGATAAAGTAGGCAATTCATAATTCCTCTCCACAAGCTTCCCTTCTCTCCAAAAGCTAAATTTGGCTCGAGGCAGGAACAGACCAGGATCTGTGCATTTACATCGCAAATCATTCCCTATCTTCTCAATTACTTCAAAGCTTGCCATTCCACCATCGATAACTAGTTCATCTCCAACTATAATAGCTGCCAAGTGTTCATCATGTTCAAACTTTCCATTTGCATTTAAAGATAGATAAATTCCATGACCCATAATTTAAGGTTCCAATTTTACCTTCAGAAAACCCTTCATAGTTTGCTTGAGCTGTGAATGGAAGAGAACCCTCAAATTTTTCTGCAGTAAACAACCATATTGAACCTTCCTGATTCCAAGGAGAAGAAAAATCCACCAAAGGAAATTAATTTCTATGACTATGTTCAAGAAAAAAAAAAATACCATGAGCTGACACAACCAGCACAGCATAGTCATGTTTTCGACTGGTCAAGTAAAATTAGTTACTGTTGGACCTTGAGAAAAGTAAATAATAACTTTTCCTTATGAACAGGTATATTAAACCATCAGCAACCAGCTCAAACAAAGCACCTGGTGATGTTTCCATTGTTAAAGCAAAATTGAAACTGGAGTTAATTTGGTTAACTCAGTTGCTTCAAAGAGAATAAAAAGCCAACAAGGATTGCAATTTCATTTTCTTTTCGGAAAACAGTTATCATGATTAATCCTAAAAACATCATTTTTACTAAACAAAGAAAAACCAACCAGTGGGTTCAAAAGGAAAAAAACAAAAAAAAGACCATTTTCATATTTTTTTTCTCCAGTTAAACAAAAAGCTAATAAGAGGGCCTTGCTTACCTTATTTTCTCAACAATTACCAATACTAGGTTATAATTAAACAAATACCTCTGCTTTAAGAGAGGAAGAAGCTCCGTGATCCACCACATGAATCTGACTCCCTTCAGTATCAATCATCACAGAAACAGAAAACCCTCTTTCCATATTCAATTTCTTTATCCTTCTAATCACATTAAGATGCCACTCTCTAGTGCCATGACACATGTTAAGCCTAGCCACATTCATCCCTCCAATTGCCAAGCTCTCCAATTCCTCCAATGAACAACATTCGGGCCCAATTGTACAAACCAGCTTCGTTTTCCTCATCCCCAAAAACCCTCTTTCTCTCAATTCTGTCTCTGCAACCACATCAAACCGTAAAAAATCCGAAGTTTTATGTTCTTTCTTTGTATTCACTTCTGCTATTGCACGCACAAGCCCACTGTCAAAAGATTTGCCCTTCAGTTGCCTTGAATTCCAAGAAACCCCACGAGAAAACAGTGGAAGACTGAAAACCTGTTTACTTAAATTAACATTTGGGTTTTTTAAAGGGATTGAATTGTGAAATGTAAGGGTAGAGCTTGAATCGCTTGCTATTGCCATGGATGAAATGGGTTTTTGATGGAAATGTAGTTTTGGCAACAGAATATCAAGAACTAGGACTGATAGTGCTGAGTAACATAAACATTGGAGTTATCGATGGATATTTGCTTGGAATTTCTTGAATTCTTGGGAAAAATTGGTGAAGTTTACAAGGTAGGAACTAAGAAAGAAGATTCTTTTTTTTTTTTTTTTTTTTTTTTTTTTGATGGAATTTATTTGCTTGAATTCTTGAATTGCTTGGCGAAAAATTGGTGAAGTTTACAAGGTTAGAACTAAGAAAGAAGATTCTTTTTTTTTTTTTTTTTTTTTGTTTGAAGAAGTGGATTTTTTTTTTTTTTTTTTTTTTTTTTGAAAAGTGGATTAAATTAGCACCAAGAAGTAGTATTAGTGTTTTGGTAGTTGGATTATGATACATTAATCATATTACTTGAAACTTAAAGGACAGTTTAAAATGGGTGGTACAGACTGCCCAATTTTAACGGTAAACTAACATTTTAATTTTTAAATGACTGTTCTTGCAATTAAGGGAAAAAAAGGGGGGAATCTGGGATTTTGAAGTATTCAATCTTTGAATGGACTGATTAACTATGGAAACATACTTAAGGTTTTCTATGATATAAATTTATGTCTTATTATTTCAAAATTTGCAATATAGTGTTAGTTTATAAAGTTCGAAATTTTTAAAGATAATTTTAAAATTCATTACATGTTGTAAAATATAACTTCGGTTAGATTACATTACAACAGACGAAATGTATTCCTAGAGATTCTTTTTCCGAACTGAACTGGTTTTAGATTGCATGCAGATGATGTGCCACGTCTGCCCTCATCTGTGCAGACAACACATAATAAATGGTGTGTAGTGGTCCAAACAGACAGCAGCATTGCCATATTACAAATGAAATTTTACAGTGAAACAGAAAAACATAAAGGAGAGAGACAGAGAGTGAAGGTTTTCTCTGTTTTGTTTTGTTCTGAATTTTGATGGTTTCTGTTGTTCTTGCTGTTTGGTAACGGATTTAACGGTGGTTGTGTAAGTGGGTTAGCTAATGGATAATCATTTTTTAATTACCATTTTTATCAAACATATATAACATATATATGATATATATATATATATATGATATAATATATATAGATAGTATACACACACACGTTGTATATATATACACACACACGTTAGAAAGCGTTTCTCTCACTGCCGTTTAATGGTTAGATGAGACACTTTAGGTTAAAAACGACTATATTTAAGTTTTATATTTTATTTCATGCAAATTAACAACTAAATTGCATATTTCATAATCATTGTGATTCAAGAACTTCCTGCTTATATCACTTCTCCATGGGTTATATTGGCAAAGGAAAATAAAGAACAATTTAGGGATGTGCATTATTCAATTATAACCAAATAATTCAATCCAACGGATAAAATTCTTATTTTCAAACTAGGGAGTCTTGTGCCCTGGAGACGCCATGTTTTACAGGAGAACTAATCGTGCTAATGTAAAAACACACCTTTTTTTTCCATTTATTAATTGAAATTAACAAAATGCAAGTAAATCAAACAATCCTCAAAGTCTGTTCAACACTCTGCAGCTAAGCTAAGGCGATTTTTGCTGTCTATGCAAGACAGAGATAGTTTGTCTGTGTATTAATTTGACAATTTGCAGACACAAGATAAAGCCAAAAAGAATCACTTCCACTGAAAGTATGAAAGCTTCTGCCTTGGAAGGATTCCGTCATCATTGCTTTTACCTTCCCTTGTATCACTGAGCAGCGAGCGCATTTTGAAGATGAATATTTCTCTACTCAATGGTCTTCACCTGGATCGACTGGAAGGAAGCTCGGGCGTTGGATGGAGAGAGATCCGAGACTATCAAAACAGATTTTCCATCATTAATCATGCCTTTTATTTTTATAAGAGCAATAGTTTTTGATATGTTGGCTTCCATGTCATCTGATAAATCAACAAGGATGGGGATAACTCCCCACTGCAAATTCAATGCCATTCGAGCATCATTGTCATCTGTAAATGCAAAAATTGGAGGGTTTGGACGGTTGCGTGAAAGCAGCGATGCCATCTCTCCATGCCTTGTGTAGACAAATATAGCATCTATACCAAGCTTATTAGCTGCAAATAGAAAATAACAATACAAGCTTAGTAGCAAGCCTGAGATAAACAAATTCATATGTTTGGCGATCAATTGAGACAAATAATTATCTGGCAATAAGGATATAGTCAGTTCATAGTTCTCCAAACAGGTTGCAGTAATTACCTAGCTTAGCAAATCACTCTTTCAAACAGAATCCTCAAAAATGTAAAAAGAAAAGATTCTACTCACCTCGTTCATTTTTAATATTTCTTGGTTTTCTAGGGAACCATATATTAATATTTATGCCGAAAATTTGTTTTAAAATGAACAATGATTTATTTCATTTAAAAGAAATGCTTTCAACAGACCAACAAATTAATGTACACATACGCACACACTAATATGAACCTTTTTCTTCCTGTGTTCAAGATTTTAAATCATTCCAACAGGTATTCCTACCAGTAAATATTATAGGTTATAAGATACCAAGCCGATAACTGCTTTCAGAAAGGTCGACATTAAATATATAATGTAGAAGAGAAAAGTCAAGTTACCCATTTGAACAGCAGAATTGCATATCTCTTCAGATATGTGATCCGGCAATGAAACTCCAAGATAATGTTGATTGATTGCACTTTGATAGTTTTCCTCACGACTCTGTAGTTCCATTCGATTACTGACCATCCGCAAGACAGAAAGAGCTTTCTCTCCATATGGTCCAATAGCTGACTCACCAGAAAGCATCATCGCATCAGCATGTTGACGAACCACTTCAGATACATCTGCAACCTTATTGCATCAAAGAAGATTTCATTATAAAAGGAACACTTGACCAATCAAAAATGTCTTAAGGGGGAAAAACATTTTTCAGAATAATAGTTGGTGTATTATAGTACCACAGCACGTGTTGGGGTTGGATATTCATTATAAAAGGAACACTTGACCAATCACAATCAAAAGTGTCTTAATGGGGAAAAAACATTTTTCAGAATAATAGTTGGTGTATTATAGTACCACAGCACGTGTTGGGGTTGGATATTCATTATAAAAGGAACACTTGACCAATCAAGAATGTCTTGAGGGGGAAAAACATTTTTCAGAATAATAGTTGGTGTATTACAGTACCTCAGCACGTGTTGGGGTTGGATATTCAACCATTGATTCAAGAAGTTGAGAAGCTATGATCACTGGCTTGTTCAGCTTCCTGCAAATATCAGTTATATCCTCTTGAACTGCTGGAATCTGTTCAAGTGGGACTTCTACTCCTAGGTCACCACGAGCGACCATGATTCCATCAGAGACCTTAACAATTTCTTCCAATTTCTGAAGAGACTCCAAGCTCTCAATCTTAGCTAATACTCTTACTGATCTGTAAATGTCAAAAATCACATTAATTGAATTCCAGAAGATTCCAAGAATGATTTCAACTTTCAGTGCCAAAGAACTAAAAATACTTTCATAACTAGGTTGACATGATATTGGACGGACAAATTGAACAGTGTTACAACTGCAGCTGCTTGTATTTTAATTTGTCAAGAGATATAAAATTAATAAGGAAAAGAAAGAGAATAGAACTAAGTGAGAAAATAGGGTAGAATCAGATTCAGCAAAAAGAGTTTTTTGAGGTCATGTCAACATGCAATGTCATTGTATAAAACAAGAAATAAAGAAGATGAATAAGTTGGTCCTTAGTACCACTTTTGTAGCATCTATGATTTGACACTTGAGTCACGCATGATGCATAAGACCATGAGAAAAATGGAAAGAAAGGATCTCTAGCTGAAAGATGCAACTGAAGCCAGTGCATTTTCCTCTAATTCCACAGATCATAAACAACGAGCACAACTGTCAAAATTATAACGCTGAAGTTTGCCATAAGACAGGATTGAGAATTTGTTGAATCATATACTAATGGAAGCTGAATTCCTCACAGGTTATGATCACATGCCCCATGGTCAAGCCATTACATAAACAAGTTCACGCTTTTACAAGTCCATACTGTTCTATATATGACCACCATGCAAAGCAAAAAATTACACCTTGTAACAGATAAATAACTAATCGAGGTAGTCACTAGTGAGATTTAGATCAAATCATGCCACAAAGCATCTCTCATGGCTTAGGCAAGCACTTTACCACAAAGGATCCATCAAATGTAGGCAGAAGGAAAACATTGTGTAAAATCACAATTCCTCACATGTGATACGATATGTTTATTTGGTGAGCTACAAATAGACAGCATGAAACCTCATATGCAATACAAAGAAATGCTCTTCAAGTGAAATAATATGAAATGCCAACTTTGTGAATGTATTAATACTTTCTTACTCTGATTTCTTGGTCGAGAGATAGTTCTTCAGATCTTTGACAGAGTCAGCATCATTTACAAATGATACAGCAATAAAATCAACACCTTCAGAAATTCCGAAAGCAATGTCTTCCCAGTCCTGTAGAGTGAAATGTGAATTATGAGCAGGGGAAGAAATTGGTTGGATGCTTCAAAGTTTCTACCAATGCTAACCTGCTAATCTATTTGAGACCCTGTTTGGCCTGCTGCAAATGGCCAAACTGCAGCTCTTGGTGGGAGCTGCTTAGGGAGGCAGATGCATTTTCAACCCTCAAAAGCTGTGTGCAGCCCAATACAACAGGAAGAAATGAACCCTAAGGCATCTAAACTGAAGAAATGTAATTTCTTTTTTCCTACCTAAAATCTATCAAGAGTAAAAAATGCAACAGTTGTCATTATATTTTCCTCCCATTTCACTAGATAAATCTATGAACTTCCCTTTAGAAACAAGGAGTACCCTTGGCTTTCTACAGTTCAGGGAATAAGATTTTGCAGGAAGCAATTTGACTTTTTGATAGTTTTTAATCAAACAACCTAATCTAAAGACCCTGTTGCATTATATTTTGAGGCATGCCAGCAAAAGAAGTAGTGAAACAGAAAATTCTTCAGCAGATGCTGAAACAGTGACTCTAAGACCAAAAAGTTCTCTATCTGATGAAACATGTATTAACCACACGAAAATACATGTAAAATTATTGCCAGAATAGAATAAGCATAATTCAACCTTTTCTGATATAGTTGGGAGACCCTGATAGGAAAGCTTCCCATTCCTCCAAAAGCTCAATTTGGCTCGAGGTAAGAGTAAACCAGGATCTGTGCACTTACAACGCAAATCATTTCCCATCCTCTCAACAACTTGAAAACTTGCCATTCCTCCATCAATAATCAGTTCGTCACCCACCATAATGCCTAAAAGTAATTCAATTACATTAAGGCAATGAATTATATAGAATTATCTTCTAATTGCATGTAAAATAGAAAGATCAATGACTAACTAAGCGACAAATTCACCACCTTCAGAGAAACCTTCATAGTTTGCCCGGACAGTGAATGGACGTGAACCCTCAAAATTTTGAGCTGTAAATACCCAAACTGAACCTTCCTGATGACAGAGAACAAAAATGGATAAATGCAATTCATGTTTAACAAAATGATTACGAGAAGCCAATAGAAGAAATAGCTCATTGTCAAGTTTTTCCCTAATTCAAGCAAATACAAACACTGAATTCCACTTATTGACTGTTAATGCACCAAAAAAGATAAAAGAAAAGAGCCCCACACTGTGATTGGAAACTTTTTATACCTTCAAATCGTTATACCAAACCTAAAATAACAAGTCAACTACTTATTCCTGATAAAAGCAAGCATTGATTTCAGCCACTGAACTTATTGGAATTAAAGCATTAACTAAACTACAGAGCGCGTTAGCCAGGAAAGAAGTAAAAAGTGGGACAGTGGGTTCAAGTTAAAATACCTCTGCTTTAAGAGAGGAAGGAGCTCCATGATCAACAACATGAATCTGACTGCCTTCAGTATCAATCATAACTGAAACACAAAACCCTTTTTCCGCATTTAATGTCTTAATTTTCCTAATAACATCTCTATGCCACTCTCTTGTATTATGACAC